GTCGGTAAGTGGCGACGCACAGCAAGACGGGCAGCAGCATCGTGTGTGGCCCACTGTGAGCGAATAGTGTTGTCAGCATCAGTAGGCGGGGCAGGAGAGGCACCAGAGGTGAGATCGAACAGGGAGAGTCCGTCTGCCCTATCGCACTGTAGGAAAAGCTGGAGGTCATCGACCTAGACCTCAAAGTCAACAGCACGACCCTCAGCATCAAAGGTAAGGACACTGGGGGTAGCCATGACAGCAGTGGTCTAGCAGGGAGTGCTCTCACCAGTCGAGTGGGTAGGGCCGGGGCGCGCCGGTAGGAACAGGGCTGTAACCGCGGTGGCAGCGGCTCGGCAGTGTCAGTAGCGGCTCGACGGCAGCGGCTCGGTGGCTTGGCGGCTGGGCAGCCCGGTGTCTCGGCTACTGGGCGGCTCGGCGGCTCGGCTGCTGGGCGGCTCGGCGGCTCGGCTGCTGGGCGGCTTGGCGGCTCGGCTGCTGGGCGGTTCGGCGGCTCGGCTGTTGGGCGGCTCGGCGGCTTGGCCGTTGGGTGGCTCGGCGGCTCGGGTGCTGGGCGGCTCGGCGGCTCGGCTGCTGGGTGGCTCGGCGGCTCGGCGGCTCGGCTGCTGGGCGGCTCAGCGGTGAAGGGGCCATGAAGGGCGGCGATGGGGTCGGTAGAGGCGGCGACGGGGCCGCGAAGGGCGACAGGGCCGCTAGAGGCGGCAACGGGGCCGCGAAGAGCGGCGACGGGGCCGCTAGGGGCGGCGACGGGGCTGCGAAAGGCGGCGACGTGGCCGCGAAGGGCGGCGACGGGGCCGCTAGGGGCGGCGACGGGACCGCTAGGGGCGGCAACGGGGCCACTAGGGGCGGCGACGGGACCGCTAGGGGCAGCGACGGGGCCGATAGGGGCGGCGACGGGGCCGAAGAGGGGCCGTGAGGGGCCTCGAAGGGCGGCGACGGGGCCGCTAGGGGCGGCGAGGGGGCCGCGAAGGGGCTGCGAGGGGCCTAGAGGGGCGGCGACCGGGCCGCGAAGGGGCCGTGAGGGGCCTAGAGGGGCGGCAACGGGGCCGCAAAGGACGGCGACGGGGCCGTAAGGGGTGGCGACGGGGCCGCTAAGGGTGGCGGGAGGGGCCGTGAGAGGGGCCTCTAGGAGGGCGCGACGTGAGGGCGGCCTACGGGGCGTGCCTCGGGCAGGAAAAAAAAGTCGAGTTCATTGGTGGGCCCTGAGAAGCGTTCCCATGAGGGAACCTGCTCTATACCATGTGAAGAATGAGGAATGGAATGATTAAGGAAAATGTGGGTACAAGTAGGAAACCTAGAAATGTTGTACCCTATAGTGTCTACTCCACTACAGCCTAGATAGACCATAGCATATGAGTTTGACATGCCTGAGGGACGGGGAAGGGTAGACAAGGACGAATGTGAATTTCCAGAGCGTAAGCTGACATTGATTCAAAGTCACGCATGCGAATGTCATGGTTCAACTCACCGGCCTTGGTGGTGGTGTTGATTCCTTCTTCTTCGAACCAGCCGCTGTAGCGATAACGCACACCGCACTTGAACGGGCGGTTGATCGACACATCCAGAGGCTGCACTAACGGAGTGCAGCCCCCTGGGATGACAGCTCGTGACAGCCGAAACATCCGCATGGTCTGCCCGACCGCCTCGGTCAAGTGGCCGCAGTAGGAGTCGAGCACAACTAAGGCCTCCCTGCGGCGTCCAGTTGATTCACGCAAGGGCTTCAAAAACGGCACCATCACCTGGGTGATCCAGTCTTGCACAAGTGATTCGTCCATCCACCCTTTCTCTTGTGCACGGACAACCATACCTGCCAGAGAATACCGGTACGTCAGGGTCAGGTTCGGTTGTGGCTGTTGACAGGCAAGAGCAATGACATCGTCCTAAACGTGCTACTCTTACCGGCAGGGATGGGCACCTTCGGTTTAGTCTTGCGCTTGAACACCATGTACGGCGGCGGCTTGAGCCCGCTCGCAGTTACTGCCAGCATGACAGTAACACGCTCCTTCTCATAGCCCGCACTCTGCACGTGAACCGTTCGCGCTCCCTTCATTTCGAGCGTGCGCTCCGCCGGCATCTCCAGAAAAAGCGGGGTCTGGTCCGCGTTCAAGATGAGGTCGAGCGGGTAGTCGTGCAGAGAGCGCATTTGGCACTCAAACTCCCAGAAGGACTCCACTTTGGCCTTGCAATCTGCAAGCAAAGCCACGAGACACATTAGCTCTCCATGAGATGGTGGTCAAGGAGCACCACGACGCAACACTTACCCGCTGCCAACTTCTGTCCCATCATCGTCTTCACCCCTCGCCAGATGCCAGCGCGCGCGGAAACGAGTTGCCCAGCGGAACGATGCGCGCCAGTTGACCCCGGGCATCCGGTGCTTCATATACTTGGCGCTCCACTTTTGGAGCATGCTGACCAAAACGGCGAGCCCCCTGTCAGAATAGTAGCTAAGGCTAAGAAGCCATGGCAAGGTTTAGGGTATACGAAAGGGAAATGAAAGAAGAGGGATTGCACTAGCAAGAGTTGGGATACAAATAGCAAACCCTAAATTGGGTTGTACTCGCTATAGAGTACCCCACTGCATGCTAGACAATAATAACTTTCTGACACACCCCCATAGCCAAAGTGGGGTGTAATCAACACAATGAGCAGGCATAGCAATAGTTCACAATTATAAGCAAAGCTAGAGGCATTCACAATGGGCACGTGAGGAGGAGGAGGCTGGACTGAGAGAGGAGAGGAGATAGGAAGCGACACACGGGCAACAGGAGCGGCTAGCACAGTGGCTACCGAGAGCAAGACAGGCTCCGGACTACAGGAGTAACTGGCTCCGCGGCTACGACGAGCGGCAGGAGCAACGGACCCACGGGCGACAGGCACAGCAGGCTCGCTAGGCTACCGAGAGCAAGACAGGCTCCGAACTACTGGCGCTGCAGGCGACACGACGGCAGCCTCCATGCAACCTCCCCCAACTGTCCCACACCCCTCTTTCATACACCCCTTGCTGTACCCCTAGCTCCACTCCGACATCACCCCCCTAGCGCCACGCCCTCGGCTCCCACACACTCACCCCCCTCAGCGGCAGCTGCAGTAGTGGGAGACGAAGGAGGAGGAGGAGCAGGGGACAGCTCACAGACCCGCCACCCCCATACCCGTCACCCCCGTACCCTGAGTGTGCGGTAAGCGAATTCAGGTGTGCGGAAAGCGAACTCGGGTGCGCGAAAAGCAAACTCAGGTGTGCAGGGAGGGGGGCCGCAGGGTGACGCGCGGGCCGACTGGGACGGGCACACGGATCCCCGGGGGCGGCGCGCGGGTCTACGGGGCCGCCGCGAAGGGCGACGGGGAGCCGCGCGCGGGTCGACGGGGAGCCGCGCGCGGGTCGACGGGGCCGCCGCGAAGGGCGACGGGGAGCTGCGCGTGGGTCGACGGGGCCGCCGCGAAGGGCGACGGGGAGCTGCGCGCGGGTCGACGGGGCCGCCGCGAAGGGCAACGGGGAGCCGTGCGCAGGTCGACGGGGACACGCGAGAAACCGCCACGCGCCCCGAGCGCGTGGCGGGCAGAAAACCGCCATGCGCCAGGAGCGCATGGCGGGAAGAAAAAGCATCGCGCGCCACGGGGCACGCGACAGACAGGAAAGCAGCGGAATCTTTAGGTGGGCCCACAGGCCAAGAGCGTAACAGCTCTGATACCATGTCAGAATAGTAGCTAAGGCTAAGAAGCCATGGCTAGGTTTAGGGTACACGAAAGAGAAATGAAAGAAGAGGGATTGCACTAGCAAGAGTAGGGATACAAATAGCAAACCCTAAATTGGGTTGCACTCGCTATTGAGTACCCCACTGCAAGCTAGACAATAATAACATTCTGACACCCACTCCCCCGGTGCTTCAGGAACTGGCGGTAGACCGCCTGTTCCATGAAAGGGTACTTGGACTTGCGGCCAGCTCCCATGAGGCGACGGCAGCAACTGGAAGCGACCTCCAGCCGCTCCCTCATCTTCTTCCAATCGCGGATCTGGCATGGCTGCACCTTCGCGAGCTTCGACAGGGCGTGATTCGACAGGTCGGGCTGCGAGTCCTGCAGCTTCAACCAGTGGAGCTTCTCCTTCGCGGTGATTGCATTGTGCTGGCGTTTCGTCATGCGATGGCGAGGGGATGGCGCGTCAGCATCGGCGTTGCGCTTTGGCTGTCCCTGCGGGCGGTTACGCTCCGGGAACGTGGGGACAACCACTCGAGGAAGGGTAGGGCGAGGACGGTCCGAGCTACTGCTCGGTTCATCCCTGGTAGAAGCACTACCGGGAGCATCCGGCTGAGGCAAGATCGGACGAGGAGACGTCCGTGCGCGTGCAGCAGCGCTAGTCTGATTGGTGGAAACAGGCCGCTGCCGCCTATCTACCGTACTACTAGAATCTGGAGATGAAGCCATACTTGGGAACTAAGGTAGGTCGATGTCACTCGCCATGGGAGAAATGACTTTAAAGTCGATACCTCGTGCACAGGAAGGAGACACTCTCATAGCCTGCCGAGCACTTGTGAAAGACGTGCACTGGAACCGCTTCACGAAGAGAATAGCAAACCCTTGTGACGAAGCCTGGACGTGACTACCGTACACGGCAGTCAAGGGGTCACAGGTACAGTGACAACACAGCACCATGCGCGATTCCGGCCTCGTACTACATGAAACCAAGCTGCGCGAGGATGGCACTGATATCAACCAATCAGGTGTCACAGTGGCAGATTCCAGTGGAGGCCGACGTTATCCTCGTAAACGCGGTTTGGCGGCCCTGAACAAAAAGATACTAGTGAGGCCAGACCCCTGTTTTTGTTTCCATTCATTTCAGCTTATGAAGAAAAGTGCAATATAATAAGACCCGGGTATTATGTATTTTTGTCCTCTGAGGAGACCCCCCCCATTTTTTCCCTGTATTTTTAGCTATACCCTAGGGTGTTATGTCCGGGAGAATACGGTACCGTATAGCAATGCCAAACCTCACAAGCATACAGTAATCAGGAAAGCGAGAGAGCCACAGTGGCGGCATGAGCGCGCATCACAGCAACAGCTTGCTCCAGCACTGCTCTATCCCTGGCCTTCTGCGCCCACTCCCCACCCAACTCCTCCGCCTTAGTCCCCGCAAGCGCCCCCTCCAATGCCTCTGCCGCTGCCTGCAGCTGCCCACCCTGCATCAGAGCTTCGGCCCGAGCCACTGCTGCCTCCACCCCACCTCCCGGCAGCTCTGTGCCCGTTTCAGGCAGCTGGGGAGGGGTGATAAGGGGTGTGGGTGGGTGGGGAGGGAAAAGAGTAGAGAAGCTCATGAGAGGAGATAATAAGATGCAGGAATTTTGCGAGGAAGAGGAGAATGAAGAGGCCAGAGCGCAGGAGAAACAAGACAGAGAAGGGAGCACAGATGCAGCATGGTTGAATGGGGTACGCGTTGACACTTGCCTGCTAGAATTCCAGCCAGCTCATTGTCACCATTTTCACCCACCCCACCCCCCCTTCTCTCCTCCCCACCTTGATCATCGCAGCCAGAAACGCCAAGGCATGAGCCACCACCCCGGCGCCCTGAGGTGGCATGACCCCCAGCTGACTCAGCGACAGCCGCAGCGCAGTCAGCTGCTGCCGCAGCTGAGCTGGCGTGGGCACGCCCTGGTCAGCAGCAGGGGGCGGCAGCGAGGCCAACACAGCATCCACGAGAGCATCTGCTGCTGGTGCCTCTGCTGCCACCACACCTGCGTTTTCACCTGCGCTGCCGCTAGTGCCGCTGACACTGGTTGTTGTGGGTGCAACAGTGGCTTGTTGGTTGGAGAGGGAGAGAGGGAGGGAGGAGGGTTGGAGGGATGTGGGCGGCAGGGCGAGGGGAGTGCCGTTCAAAGCAGCGTCTTCTAGAGCGAAGCAGAGCTGATTTGGGAGATGGGGAAGATGGGGGGGGATAAAAGATAAGAGCAGAAAGGTAAGGGGAGGGCATAAAGCGGGGATGCAAAAGGAAGTGGATTGAAGATAAGAGGTGATACAGCGTAGAGAGACAGCAAAAGATGATAAGAGCATGTATCAAACTCGTGGAGAAGGAATTGTGGGGGATGGGTATGAGCGGGAGGAGATGGAGGGAGCGAAGAGAGAGTTAGGTCGAGGGGGAGGAAATGAATGAGGGATGAAGTGAGGGTATTAATGAAGGCTGTCAAATGTAGGCAGAGATAAGGTTACAAACAGGGCTGTGCACATGCGGGTGCACCTACCAAGCAAGTGGGTATGGCCATACCATGGCAAGGGAGTGCCCAGCATGTCGCTTCCTCTCCTCCTCTGACCGCGTGCGAAAGGCCTCGTGTAGTGCTGCCAGCTGACGGGGAGACAGCAGGGAACAGCGATAGCAGAAATTGCCAGCGCAGTGGTGGTGGGTGGGTGGGTGGGTGTGTGGTGCATGTGTGTGCACATGCGTGCATGCCTATGAACATGCGCATGTGCGCGTGTGCGTGCGCATTACGCATACACACGTGTACAGCTCCACTCAAGCGCACAAGCTAAAGGAACCCAAATCTGCTTCCGCAAACCCTTCCCTTCTCACCTCCATTCCCGCTCCCTCCCTCCTGTCCCTCGCCCTCCCCCTTGTCCCCAGCTGTGTCCTCACCTGCAGCTTGAGTCACTCCATCTCACGTGTGTGTGCAGCGCCTCTGCAGCAGCCATGCCCGCCACCGCCCATTTTATAGGCGCCTCAGAAAAAGACTCCCCCCCAGCTGCGCCCTCACCTGCAGGTTGAGTCTCTCCACCTCGTGCGTGTGCTGCGCCTCTGCAGCAGCCATGCCCACCACTGCTCTCGCCTCTGCCACCACCCCCGCCTCTGCTGCAATCGCTGCTCCCTCCTCCTCCTGGTGGGTAGACAGCAGGGGATGGGGTGAGATGGGGTGCAGTGGAGGTGGGTGTTGGATTGGGTGGAAAGTGGTGGAATGGGTTGAGGATGGGATGAGATGGGATGACATCATCATCGCATTACATGGCAAGGCATGGCATGGCATGGAATGGCATGGCATGGCATGGCATGGCATGGCATGGCATGGCATGGCATGGCATGGCATGGCATGACATGGCATGGCATGGCACGGCACGGCACGGCATGGCATGGCATGGCATGGCACGGCACGGCATGCCATGGCATGGCATGGCATGGCATGGCATGGCACGGCACGGCACGGCATGGCATGGCATGGCATGGCACGGCACGGCATGCCATGGCATGGCATGGCATGGCATGGCACGGCATGGCATGGCTTAGCACAGCATGCCATGGCATGGCATAGCACTGCATGCCATGGCATGGCACGGCATGGCATGGCTTAGCACAGCATGCCATGGCATGGCATAGCACTGCATGCCATGGCATGGCACGGCATGCCATGGTATGGCATGACACGGCATGGCATGACATGGCATGGAACGGCACGGGATGGCATGGCACGGCACGGCATGGCATGGCATGGCATGGCAAGGCACGGCACGGCATGGCATGGCATGGCAACTCTCCATGTGTCAGGATCAACTCCCTTCAATGAGCCCATGCCACCCAGTGACAACTTGTGTCCTACCTCCCGTACCTCCATCCCTCTTCTCCCTGCTTCAAGCTTCCTTCCCTCTTCTCCCTGCTTCAAGCTTCCTTCCCTCTTCTCCCTGCTTCAAGCTTCCTTCCCTCTTCTCCCTGCTTCAAGCTTCCTTCCCTCTTCTCCCTGCTTCAAGCTTCCTTCCCTCTTCTCCCTGCTTCAAGCTTCCTTCCCTCTTCTCCCTGCTTCAAGCTTCCTTCCCTCTTCTCCCTGCTTCAAGCTTCCTTCCCTCTTCTCCCTGCTTCAAGCTTCCTTCCCTCTTCTTCCTGCTTTCTTCCACTGCAATCCCACCTCACCTCCCCTTCCACATCCTGCCCAACCCACTCACATCCGGCCCTCCTCCCCTCCATCCTCCCATCCCCCTCCTCTGTCCCCTGCGCCTTTCACTCACCTTGCCGAGCCCAGGCCAAACCTGCACTTACACAGCCTGCAAAATCCAGGCAGCTCATCCCAGTGTCTCCCCAACCCCGTCTCTTGCCCAATCCCTCTGTGCCGCGTCACCCTCGCATGGCTCAACACCATACAGCTTGGTACATCAATCACGCCTACAGCTTGGTTTCACTTCACACAGATCTCAACGCACGGCTCCTTCCCCAATCCAGCCCCTCCCTCACCTGCTTGCTTCCCACCGCCCCCTGCCCGCCTCCATCCACACCGATCCCAAACCAAACTTACGCCACACCGTCCTCAGACCTTGTCCTCCATGGCCCTCCCATCCGACCACCTGCCCCACCACCTGCCCCCCTCCCTGCACAAACCTTCTCCTCCATAGCCCTCTCATGCCTGACAGTCAAGCCCAACCCACCCCACACGTACCCCACCCCACACCGTCCTGACACACACCTTGTCCTGCAGGGCCCTCTCGTGGCGGGCAGTCAAGTCCTGCTTGACGCGCTCTGCCTGCGCCTGCAGCTGCTCCCTCTCCCTCTCCCGCGCTGCTCTTAATGCCTCCACCCGCGCCTCTGCGCCCTGTATGCGCTGCTGCAGCTCCAGCACTGCACGCTCGTGCTCCAACTGCAGAGAGAGAGGGAGGCCGGGGGACGGAGGGAGTGGAGAGGAATGGAGAGGGTTGAGGGGGAGGTAGTGGAGATATGATGGGGAAGGGGAGGGGGAAAGGGGCTGGGAGGAGAGGGAAGAGGAATGAAAAAAGGACGCAGAAGGGGAAAGGGAAGGGGATGGAAGGGGGAAGGGAAGGGGGATGAGGGAGGGGGAGGGAGAGGGGGAGGGAAGGGAAGGAGGAAGAGGAAGGAGAAGGAGAAGGGGAAAAGAGAAGGGGAAGGGGAAAAGAGAAGGGGAAGGGGAAGAGGAAGGGGAAGAGGAAAGGGAAAGGGTATGGGAGGACAGGAAAATATAGAGCGAAGAGAACAGAGGGTTGCAGAGTGAAGGAGGTTGGTTGATAAGTTACAGAGAAGCAGTGGTGCACGGCACACAGGAAAATCAAAGCACACTAGCTGGGGCATCAGACAGTACACAGTTTTGGAAGCTGTACTTTCTAACCACCCATATTATGGAGGGGCTTTTCTCTAACACCCCGTCATCATATTATTCAGCAAACCACACTCATCCCTGTTCCCTCTTTCCACGCTTCCACTTCCCCTCGTCTGCCCTTGCACCGCCCTTTCCCCCTCCTCCGCCCTTTCCCCCTCCTCCACCCTTCACCCCCCGTTCGCCCTTCACCCCTCGTCCGCCCTCTCCCGCTCCACCTGGACCCCCCTCTCCTCTCCCCCCTCACCTGCTCGAGCGTGAGGCGTTCCTCCAGCAGCGCCTCATCCACTGCTTGCTGGCGCCGCCGCGCCTCCTCTATCACGCCCACCACCAGCTGCGCCGGCACCTGCGCCAACCGTGCTGCCTCTGCCCGGGGGGCAGGGGGAACGTGGTAAGGAAAGAGGGGAGAGGGAGAAGGGGAGAGGGAGAGAGGGGAGATGGCAGAGGGGAGAGGGGAGAGGGGGGAGGGGGGAGGGGAGAGGGAGAGAGGGGAGAGGGCAGAGGGGAGAGGGGAGAGGGAGAGAGGGGAGAGGGCAGAGGGGAGAGGGAGAGGGAGAAGAGGAGAGACGGAGAGGGAGAGATGGGGAGAGAGCGTGACAGGAAGTGAAATGAAGGGCGAGGAAGGGAGTGGGGGATGAAAGGCACCGTACTGGGAGGAGAGAGTGAGGGAGGAGAGAGAGAGGAGGGTAGTAAAGGGAGGAAAACTCCTGCTCGCAAGCTGCTCCACCCCTCACAGGGAGGGTGATCAGGTCCCACCCCTTACAGCCCTCCTTGGATCTTAGGACCGGAACAGGGAGGTTTGTTCACTGCACCAAGACCCGCCCTCACTAGTTACTACTACCCTGCCCTACGGTTCTCTTCCTCTCCGCACCATCCTCCTACTTCCCTCCCCACCCACCCTTCTCCCCGCGTTACCAGCGCTAGAAAGGCCTCCGCCTTGTGTGGTTCCCGTGCTCCTCCTGACTCCCTCCTCCTTCTCTCCCCCCTCCCCCTCCCCTTCCCCCTCCTCTCCCCCCACCAACACCACGTTCCCAACATTCCCCAACATTCCCCTCATCTCTTCCGCCTGCGCTGCTTCTTTCCGCACACCCTCCTTCTCATTTGAGCCACCTGCTACCGCTTCCTCCTCTTTTCCCGCAGCCCCCCTCTCCTCTCCCATTCCTTGCGCCTTCGAAGTCGCCGAAGGGGCTGCTTCCGCCTCTCCGCGCTTTTCCGGATCTTTCTGCGCCTCTTCCCCCCCACCCGTGACTCCTTCCCCCGCACCACGCATCTCCGCACCCCTGTCCGCGCGCTGATCCTGCGTCAATCTGCCCCCTTCCGCCGCCCCGTCCGCCGATTCGCGTTGCGCCGTACCCTTCTCCGCCGCTCCGCCCTTTCCCCTCTCACCAGCGCGCTCCGCCTCCCCTTCCGCATCCGCCAGCAGTGACTGACTTAGAGCCGGAAGCTGCTGCCCCATCTGCGCAATCTGCGCACCCCCCAGCTGCTGATGCTTCTCTTTTGTCGCGTCTTTCACTAGCCGTTCCGTCTCTCGCTGCGCTTCCTGTTGCCGCCACAAGTACCACGCGCCGCCTGCCACCGCCGCCGCAGCAACCACGGCGCCACCGGCTCGGAATCCCTTCGATCCGCCTCCTGGTTGCGGCGGCAAGTCGGCGGCTGCAGCGCCGGCCGCAGTAGCGCCGGATGCAGCGGGACTGGACGACGTGGCAGCTGACGTGGAACCAGAGCCATGGATCGGGTGTGATTGTAACGAGACCGCGGACGACTGAGTCAACAGCCAAATCGCGGACCCAGTCGACGGCGTTATTGCGAGAGGAGGTGACGTAAACGCGGGGAGAGAGAACGACGCTGCAGGCGCGGAAGGCTTGGAAAGCGGCGGGCATGTGAGCGCAGTCGGCGCAGTGTCAAGCCTGGGGGGGCGGAACGGCGAGCGGGCGGGGAGGAGCAGCGAGAGCGAGGCCCGCTGTCTCCATCGCAACGCGTGGCGCGCGCTGTGTTGGCGCAGCATGGGGAGTGGCGGCGGTGCTCTGGTTAGCACGAGCAGGGATGGATCATGGATTGTCCTGTGATGGAGGGGAGAGGATGATAGACGAAACCAGAGCCTGTTTCTTGCGCTCGCGATCGGGAGGGAGGCCCAAACAAAATCGTAATCTGCGGAAGGTTTCGAATGTGAACAAGGGCGAAAAAATCGCGCCAGTTGACTACGGTCCGACGTGCTCATTGTGAACAGCAGAGAACGTGCAAATAACAAGGTGTGTAATGAATTGTAATTCCTACTCTAGTCTCACTTAGCGAGTACAACCTGAGGGCCGCGCGTCAGCCTAGTTCGGCCTACAATTCCGCCCCGAACCACACCCGAGTCGCCCCCACACCAATCGCAATCATTTACTAGCCATCCTCGCCCGACCACCGTCACTTTTCATTGTATGGGGTTCAGTAATTTCAGAGTCTCATTATTTGTTATCTTGCGCACTCTAAGGTTCATTCATAACACCTGGTATCGGAGCTACTTTTCTAGCCTACCCCGCTTTTTAGTGTGAATCACCCCTCAAGAAGGGGGGGGGGGGGGGGGGACGAGGAAGGATGCCTTGGGGTCCAGGAGTTGCACGACGGCCGGCCAAGAGAACGGGCCACTTGCGTTTCGCGGCCAAGGAATTATCGTGCACTTCTCGGCACCGCCGGATCCTTGCCTTCGACGGTCGCGATCGACAGTGACCTCCCTCCCACTAGGTGTCAAATTACAATATTGTGTAGGCTATAGTGGGGTAGCCGATATGGGGTACACATTTCTAGGGTTGTATATTTGTATCACTTCCATTCCTTAGTCAATCCATTCTTGTTCTACTTTCCTCATGGTATCGAGCAGGTTTCCCTTTGGGAACTGTGCCTAGGGCCCACCACATCGAGTTTCTTTTTTTTTTTCTCCTGCCCGAAGCGCGCTCCGCCCGAGTCGCGCTCCGGGCTCTCACCTCGTCGAGCCGCCCTAGCGGCCCCTACGCCCTAGCGGCCCTATCGCCCTAGCGGCCCCTTCCCCTAGCGGCCCCGCCGCCCGTCGATTCGGCCCCGCCGCCCTTTAGTGCGGCCCCGCCGCCCGTCTCAGCGGCCCCACCGCCCGTCTCAGCGGCCCCGCCGCCCTTCTCAGCGGGCCCCGCCCTACTTAGCGGCCCCACCGCCCGTCGCTGCGGCCCCGCCCTTCTCAGCGGCCCCGTCGCCCCGCATTGCGGCCCCGCCGCCCGTCTCCGCGGCCCCGCCGCCCGTCGCTGCGGCCCCGCCCTTCTCGGCGGCCCCGTCGCCCCACATTGCGGCCCTGCCACCCATCTCAGCGGCCCCGCCGCCCTTCGCTGCGGCCCCGCTGCCTCCCTCGCTGCGGCCCCGCCGCCCTACTCAGCGGCCCCGCCGCCCTTCTACTCAGCGGCCCCGCCGCTCTACTCAGCGGCCCCGCCGCCCTACTCAGCGGCCCCGCCGCCCTAATCAGCGGCCCCGCCGCCCTTCTACTACGGCCCCGCCACCCTACTTAGCGGCCCCGCCGCCCTTCCGCAGCGGCCCCGCCGCCCTACTCAGCGGCCCCGCCGCCCTTCAACTACGGCCCAGCCGCCCTTCTCAGCGGCCCCGCCGCCCCTCGCACCAGCGGCCCTGCCACCCTACACCGCCCGCGCCGCCCGAGCCGCCTGAACCGCCCGAGCCGCCCGAGCCGCCCGACCTGCCCGAGCTGCCCGAGCCGCCCGAGCCGCCCGACTCTCCTGAGCCGCCCGAGCCGCCCAACCAGCCCGAGCCGCCCGAGCCGCCCGAGCCGTCCGAGCCGCCTGAGCCGCCCGAGCCGCCTGAGGAGCTGAGCCGCTCGCACCACGGGGCCGCAGTTGCTGCTGATCCTTCCGAGCAGCCGTGCTGCCGTGTTGCTGTACTGCTGAGCTGCCCGACCCGCCCTGTCCGGTGAGAGCAGCGCTTCTGTCACTCCACTGCCCCTGTCCTACAGTTGGTACTGCTAGTCTACTGCTGTCATGGCTACCCTTAGTGTTCTCGCTTTTGACGCTGAGGGTCGAGCCATTGACTTTGAGGTTTGGGTAGATGACCTGCAGCTTTTCCTACAGTGCGATAGGGCAGACGGTCACTCCCTCTTTGACCTCACCTCTGGCGCCTCTCCTGTCCCTACTGCTGATGCTGACCCCACTGTTCGCTCCCAGTGGGCCACGCGCGATGCTGCTGCACGTCTTGCTGTGCGTCGCCACCTGCCTACCACTGAGCGCTCGCACTTTAGTCAGTAAAAGAGTGCTCAGACCTTGTACGACGCTGTAGTTACGCGCTACTCTTCCCCTGCCACTGCTGCACTGAGCCGCCTCATGCTACGGTACCTCTTTCTTGACCTTGCTGCCTTTCCCACAGTCGCTGACCTCACTACGCACCTCCGCACTAGTGACACTCGCTACCGCGCCGCGCTTCCTGCTGAGTTCTGCGCCAAGAACCCCCCCCCCCCCCATGTACATCACTCTCTATTATATAGTCACCTGCCTCCCTGACTCCCTTCGCGTAGTCAGGGACCACTTCCTCTCAGTCTATCCCACCACTCTCACTGTTGACCTCCTAGAGAAGGCCCTCCTAGCAGCGGAGAAGAGCATAGTCGTTGTAGGAGCCTCTCGTGGTGACCCTCGCACCCCCATCTTTGAGGGGTGTTCCCCTTCCCCCCTGTTGCCCTCTGTCGCCTCTGCTGCTGCGGCCGACCTCGTTGGTCTTGAGTCGATCGGTGCGGCGTCTGCCCCGAGCGGGAGACGCCGCTCTGGCAAGGGCAAGGGGGGCAAGGGCACGGGTGGAGCTAGCGGGGGTGGTGGAGGTGGCGGTGGAGGCGTTGGAGGGAGTGGGGGTGGCGGTGGGAGTGGTGGCGGGGGTGGAGGTGGTGGTGGCAGCAGCTGAGGCGGAGGCGGTAGCGGTGGGAGGGGAGGCGGCGGTGGTGGCGGAGGTGGAGGCGGCGGTGGCGGAGGAGGTGGAGCTGGTCGGGGTGGTGCTTCGCAGCGGAGCGGCTCCGGTGGTGTTCAGCGCCGCTAGGAGCAGCAGCAGCAGCAGCGTTCTCGGGACATCCCCCCTCCTCAGCAGCTCCGTGAGTGGTACACGCCCACCCCACCCAGCGCTGCTTTGGCCGCCTGACGGACGCTTGGCGTCAGCATTTCCCGGAGGCTAGTGAGATCCCCCGCTGGGGAGAGCTGACTAGGGCAGGCGTAGCTATCTATGATCTTGACTTTGATGCTATCCTTGCTGCCATGTATGCTGTGATTATTAGTGATGAGGGTGACTGTTACCGGTGTTTCCCGCCCGACCCAAGCATTGGTACTGCTGCTCTAGGTGCTGGTGAGGCTGCTGCTCTAGGTGCCAGTGCGTCTGCGCCCTCAGGTGCTGGTGAGTCTGCGCTCTCAGGTACCACGTCGGCTTCGGCCTCCCTCACCTTCACACTTGACTCAGGGGCTTCTCACTCCTTCTTTCGAGACCGCACCACACTCACGCCGCTTAGTCGGCCGGTTGCAGTCTCTCTGGCAGACCCCTCTGGGGGTCCTGTCCTCTCTCACTTTTCCACTCTCCTCCCGTGTCCGGCTGCCCCCTCTGGCACCTTGTCTGGTCTTTACCTCCCCTCGTTCTCTACGAACTTGGTGAGTGGTGCTGACCTGCAGGATACGGGGGTTCACCAGTTTACTCTTGCGAGTCAGCGGGTGACCCACTGCTCGGACGCTCGCACCGGCCGGCACCTGGCCACGTTTACGCCTCGGCCGGGGTCAAGCCTCTACACCCTCACCACTGGATCCCCTCCTGTCCCTGCGTCTGGTCAGGTAGCTGTGTCGGGTCAGGTGTTTGCTGCAGCGTCCAGGTCTGGTCTTGAGTCTGCCCCCTGCTCGTGTCGCCTCCTCTCTCATGAGACTCTCCTGTGGCACCACCGACTTGGTCACCCCTCCTTGCCTCGTCTCGGAGGCATGGCTTCCCGTGTCCTTGTCTCTGGTCTTCCCCGGTCCCTCCCTCCCCTTCCTCCGGGGCCTGGTCCTTCCTGTGTCCCCTGTGTCGAGGGGCGGCTCCGGGCTGCCCCTCACTCCTCTCAGTTTCCCCCGACAGAGGCCCCGCTGCAGACGCTTCACATGGACGTGTGGGGCCCAGCCCGCGTCCGTGGACAGGGTCACGAGCGCTACTTCCTGCTGGTGGTTGACGACTACTCGCGTTACACCACAGTCTTCCCCTTGCGCAGCAAGGGTGATGTCACTGAGGTGTTGATCGACTGGATCCGCGCAGCTCGTCTTCAGCTTAGGAGGATCTTCGGCTCGGACTTTCCTGTTCTGCGTCTGCACTCTGACCGAGGCGGAGAGTTCTCCTCTGGCCTTCTGCAAGCCTACTGTCGTGCGCGAGGCATCCGCCACACCTTTACGCTTCCGGACTCTCCACAGCAAAATGGGATTGCTGAGCGCCGCATTGGCATGGTCATGGACGTCGCTCGTACGTCCATGATGCATGCGGGTGCCCCCGATTTTCTGTGGCCGTTTGCGGTTCGATACGCGGCGCATCAGATCAACCTTCACCCCAGGGTCTCCAGGCAAGAGACCTCCCCAGCCTTACTATGGACGGGGAAGGTCGGCGATGCGTCTGCGTTCCGTGTCTGGGGATCTCGGGCGTTTGTCCGCGACTTGTCTGCGGACAAGCTTTCCCCTCGTGCTGCTCCCTGTGTCTTCCTTGGCTTCCCCCTTGACGCCCCTGGGTGGCAGTTCTACCACCCCACCTCTCGTCGTGTTCTGTCCTCCCAAGATGTCACGTTTGACGAGTCGGTCCCCTACTACCGCCTCTTCCCCTACCGCACTCCTTCCCTCCCCCTGTCACCTCACTTCCTTGTGCCAGGTCCCCCCCCGGTAGACCCCCTCCCCCCTCAGGGTCATGCCCCTTCAAGTGTGTCCCAGGTAGACGCAGTCGAGCCAGTCGAGGTTGCTGGTGACTCTGGTACTGCTGCGGGTGCTGAGCCTGGGGGTGCTGACTCTGGGGGTGTTGCGC